AAAAAAAAAAAAAAAAAAAAAAAAAAGAAATCACAAAGATCAGAGCAGAAATAAATGAAATAGAAACAAAGAAAGCAATAGCAAAGATCAATAAAACTAAAAGCTGGTTCTTTGAGAAGATAAACAAAATTGATAACCGTTAGCCAGACTCATCAAGAAAAAGAGGGAGAGGTCTCAAATCAATAAAATTAAAAATGCAAAAGGAGAAGTTACAACAGACATCGCAGAAATACAAAGCATCCTCAGAGACTACTATAAGCAACTCTATGCCAATAAAATGGACAACCTGGAAGAAATGGACAAATTCTTAGAAAGGTATAACTTTCCAAGACTGAACCAGGAAGAAATAGAAAATATGAACAGACCAATCTCAAGTAATGAAATTAAAACTGTGATTAAAAATCTTCCAACAAGGGCTTCACTGGTGGTGCAGTGGTTGAGAGTCTGCCTGCCGGTGCAGGGGACACGGGTTCGTGCCCCGGTCCAGGAAGATCCCACATGCCGTGGAGCGGCTAGGCCTGTGAGCCATGACCACTGAGCCTGTGTGTCCGGAGCCTGTGCTCCGCAATGGGAGAGGTCACAACAGTGAGAGGCCGCGTACCGAAAAAAAAAATCTTCCAACAAAAGAAAATCCTGGTCCAGATGGCTTCACAGGTGAATTCTATCAAATATTTAGAGAAGAGCTAACACCCATACTTCTCAAACTCCTCCAAAAAATTGTGGAGGAAGGAACACTCCCAAACTCATTCTACGAGGCCACCATCACCCTGATACCAAAACCAGACAAAGATACTACAAAAAAAGAAAATTACAAACCAATATCACTGATGAATATTGATGCAAAAATCCTCAACAAAATACTAGCAAACAGAATCCAACAACACATTAAAAGGATCATACACCATGATCAAGTGGGATTTATCCCAGGGTTGCAAGGATTCTTCAATATACACAAATCAATCAATGTGATACACCATATTAACAAATTGAAGGAGAAAAACCATATGATCATCTCAATAGATGCAGAGAAAGCTTTCGACAAAATTCAACACCCATTTATGATAAAAACTCTCCAGAAAGTGGGCATAGAGGGAACCTACCTCAACATAATAAAGGCCATGTGTGACAAACCCAAAGCAAACATCATTCTGAATGGTGAAAACCTGAAAGCATTTCCTCTAAGATCAGGAGCAAGACAAGGATGTCCACTCTCGCCACTATTATTCAACATAGTTTTGAAAGTCCTAGCCACAACAATCAGAGAAGAAAAAGTAATGAAAGGAATACAAATTGGAAAAGAAGAAGTAAAACTGTCACTGTTTGCAGATGACATGATACTATACATAGAGAAATCTAAAGATGCCACCAGAAAACTACTAGAGCTAATCAATGAATTTGGTAAAGTTGCAGGATACAAAATTAATGCACAGAAATCTCTTGCATTCCTATACACTAATGCTGTAAATTCTGAAAGAGAAATTAAGGAAACACTCCCATTTACCATTGCAACAAAAAGAATAAAATACCTAGAAATAAACCTACCTAAGGAGAAAAAAGACTGGTATGCAGAAAACTATGAGACACTGATGAAAGAAATTAAAGAGGATACCAACAGATGGAGAGATATACCATGTTCTTGGATTGGAAGAATCAATATTGTGAAAATGACTATACTAACCAAAGCAATTTACAGATTCAGTGCAATCCCTATCAAATTACCAATGACATTTGTTACGGAACTAGAACAAAAAATCTTAAAATTTGTATGGAGACACAAAACACCCCAAACAGCCAATGCAGTCTTGAGGAAAAAAACGGAGCTGGAGCAATCAGACTCCCTGACTTCAGACTATACTACAAAGCTACAGTAATCAAGACTATATGGTAGTGGCACAAAAACAGAAACATAGATCAATGGAAGAAGTTAGAAAGCCCAGAGATAAACCCACGCACCTATAGTCAACTAATCTATGACAAAGGAGGCAAGGATATACAATGGAGAAAACACAGTCTCTTCAATAAGTGGTGCTGGGAAAACTGGACAGCTACATGTAAAAGAATGAAATTAGAACTCTCCATAACACCATACACAAAAATAAACTCAAAATGGATTAGAGACCTAAATGTAAGACCGGACACTATAAAACTCTTAGAGGAAAACATAGGAAGAACACTCTTTGACATGTCTCAGCAAGATCTTTTTTGATTCACCTTCTAGAGTAATGGAAATAAAAATGAAAATAAACAAATGGGACCTAATGAAACTTCAAAGCTTTTGCACAGCAAAGGAAACCATAAACAAGATGAAAAGACAACCATCAGAATGGTATTGTATTTGCAAATGAATCAACGGACAAAGGATTCATCTCCAAAATATATAAACAGCTCATGCACCTCAATATTAAAAAAACAAGCAACCGAATCCAAAAGTGGGCAGAAGAATAAATAGACATTTCTCCAAAGAAGACATACAGATGACCAAGAAGCACATGAAAAGCTGCTCAACATCACTAATTATTAGAGAAATGCAAATCAAAACTACAATGAGGTATCACCTCACATCTGTTAGAATGGGCATCATCAGAAAATCTACAAACAGCAAATGCTGGAGAGGGTGTGGAGAAAAGGGAACCCTCTTGCACTGTTGGTGGGAATGTAAATTGATACAGCCACTATGGAGAACAGTATGGAGGTTCCTTAAAAAACTAAAAATAGAATTACCTTATGATCCAGCAGTCCCACTACTGGGCATATACGCAGAGAAAACCATAATTCAAAAAGACACATGCACCCCAATGTTCATTGCAACACTGTTTACAATAGCCAGTTCATGGAAGCAACCTAAATACTCATTGACAGATCAATGGATAAAGAAGATGTGGTGTATATATACAATGCAATATTACTCAGCCATAAAAAGGAACGAAACTGGGTCATTTGTTGAGATGTGGCTGGATCTAGAGACTGTCATACACAGTGAGTAAGTCAGAAATAGAACAAATAGCGTATATTAACGCATATATGTGGAACCTAAAAAATGGTACAGATGAACCAGTTTGCAGGGCAGAAATTGAGACACAGATGTAGAGAACAAACATGGACACCAAAGGGGGAAAGAGGCAGGGTGGTGGTGGTGTGATGAATTGGAGATTGGGATTGACCTATATACACTGATGTGTATAAAATGGATGACTAATAAGAACCTGCTGTATAAAAAAATAAATAAAATAAAATTCAAAAGAAAAAGGAAAAATAAAGAAATAAAATGGATCTACTTTATTGTGTGGAGCAGAAGGAAGCTCAGAGTGACCCTGCTCCTGGTTGATGGGAAAAGACTCTGTCTGGAGTCTATATTCTTTAATCATGTGGAATTTATTGAAAAAGAAAAGAATGTTGAGAGATGGGGTAAGGGGATAGGGAAGTTGGAAGCCAGAGAAGAATGTGTAACAGGGCATGGATAGGAGAGGAAAGATATTTGAGCTTCCTGTCTGATAGTCAGGCAGAGGAAGATGTGATTAGTTTTTGACTGGGGAAGAAACTAAATATAAATTGAGTTCAGTAGGGTGATGGAGGACTTTTGCTGCCTGACTCAGAGCAGGAAGCAAGGGCACAGGCTTCTAGACCTTGTTGCAGAAAGATTGATTCCGACAGCATATAACTTGCATCCTGGTTCCACGGGATAATTGGTTCATGGATGGGCACATGCTTTCACAGCCCTGGACAATGAATTGAAGTTTTCCACCTGAAAGAAGCAGAGGCAGACTGTAATGAGCAGAAAGCTTCCTCCTCCAATCTTAGCTTTCATCCATGGTTCCCAGTGTCCCTATGTAGGCACGACCAAGTCCTCCAACTTGTATATTCTTTCCTTCCTCCCTTCCATCTGCTTCTTCTGGGCCCTTCCCCTGATCAGTTGCCCACTCTTTCTAGTGAGGGACCAGACAAACCACAAGGGAAGTCAGGCAGTCAAGGGAAGTTCATGGGATGGAAGTAACCAAGATCCCTTCCTTATTTTGAGGATGAGGACTGAGTGTAAGGGTAGAGAGGTGTAGGAAGACACATATACAGGTCTGCCAACCTGTGAACACAGACTGGTGGACAACTGTTTATTACTTAACTCATGTATTCAATTTTACTAAATGCCTACCATGGGCTGGACATTGTGCTAAGTGCTAGGAATATATAGCCATGAACAAGATAGACACATTCCTGAGCTTACTGTCAATGTCTCAAGGGGAAACCCACACATTTCTTTAATAGGAAGAGACAGCCAATCTCCCTGCCTCTTTTTAAGACATCGTAAGCCTGCTGGGAAGGGCCTCTCCCTCAATAGCTGGAATTCTGCTCTTGATTCTTGAAAGGATAAGGTTCTCCTGGATCTCCAAGTTTCTGTGGAATCACAGCTGTTCCCTCCTTGGCCCCTGCCACCCTATCTCCTCCCCATCAGTACTCAAGCTGGTTGATGTGTTCTCTGGCAAAGACTGGCTCATGAAGTCCCCACATACCTTCAAAGATCTTCTTTAACATGCACTGCTGGGAATTCTGAGTGGAACAGACTCCCTCTCCTTGAAGACATATTCCTTGGTCATTCATATAAGAGCATGTGTGGCAATTTAATACTGGGCCTGAAAATTTAAGATCAGCCTGATGAAATAACCTTAGGATCCAGGTTGTATAGCCTTGAGTCACTCATCTGGGGAGGGATGATGGGCAACAAGTAGGTGGATACAACACATTTCATTTCCCGGTTCTTGTTAGGGATGTGAGGGCTCTGTGTCTGAAAGAGTATATTTTCTCTTCTGTGCCAGAGGAAATGCCTTCATTCTTATTGCTTCATTTATGATTTTCATTACTGATGAATCCCACATTTATCTCTCTAGTACTGACTTTTATTCTAATTCATCACCCAGTGGCTTCCCGGACATTTATCATTAGATGCCCTTCTGCCGTGTTTAACTCAATAGGAGCAATAGAGCTCCTCATGTGACTGGCTCCCTTTCCTACTCCCCATCATACTCTCACTTATCACAAGGCACAAACACTTGCAGTGAAATCTGACTGATTAATAAGCTGTGTTAGAATGCTGTAATGTTGCAAACATTACATCAATTCTCTATTCTCAAAGTGACCTTCAGTCAGGTCAGTTTGTCACAAAGCACAGTCTCTTTGAAGCGATTCCATATTGCCTCTCTACCTCCACTGCCAATTCCCTAATTAAGGAAGCATAAAGTGGAAAAAATATGGGCTTTGGAGTCAGACTTAAGTTTGAATCCAAGGTTTGCTACTTTCTAGCCGGATGATGTAACTTCTCTCATCTGAAAATTTGGAATACTGCTACTTATGTAATGGGGTGAAATATAAAGTGTCTATGTCTGGTAATATCTTGAGACATTAAAACTTGGATCTTGCTTTCCTTCCTTGAAGAACCCCTTTTGAGTAAGAGCCAAAGAATTGCAGTTGTCCTGGGAACTTATTTCTGGATCTAACAGACAAAAGTGTCAGCATGCTTTACTTTCCATTGATGAAAGAAATGTTCACATATTGAGTGAGGTATGGAGAAGTTATTCTGGCTTATACATTAGTTAACTTGAATTTTGTGCTAACTAAAACAGCCTCTTTGTGGCCTATTGAACAACTGCTTTAATTATTAAAGAAAAGGTCACATTAACCAGAAGTAAAAAATGTCCACGTTAAAAATAAAGATTAAATACCCCTCTTCATGGGATGCCAGTTCCAGTACTCCATTGATGATAAAACTCCCTTCCCAGGTGCCAAGGCCATACTGTACATGTATGTGCTGTTCTTTTTGTTTGTTTGTTTGTTTTTAACCTTGAAGAAATGTATCCCTGACTTGTTTAATGTTCTTTGTTCTGACAAGATATAGAACTGTGCTGAAAGCTCTGCTCCTCCAGAGCAGTTTCTCAGAGTAATCTGGGAAGCTGGCTTCTGGGCTATAGTCCTCACTTTGGCTCAGATGAAACTCTTTTCTATTATTATTATTGATTGTTTATTATTTCCATTGACACCGTGTTCAAACATGAAGACCAAGATCTACCAGCTCCACTGCTAGACATCTCTTTAGAGGGTTTGCAAAGCATTTTGACATAGTTTGTTAAGAGGCAGATTTAGCATGAAGCTCACCAAAGTTTTCTTCCATGAGCCCCTTCCAGGGGAGCTGTGGGCATCTGTATTCACAATTTCTTACATAGAGTGAAGTTGGAGAGACTGCTGGTACTTTTATATTTGTTTGGTTTTTCTTAAAGAGGGCCCTCTGAACAGTTTAACCTCCAAAGGGCCCCACCAAACCTGGATCTTGCCACCTGGCATTATTGTAAAGAAATGTAAAGAGATGTAAAATGTAAACAGCTCTCTTTGGGAGAGCTGTTTGTGAAGTGTATGAACTATTCTTTCTTCTAAACTCCTTAAAAGTGGTTTTCTGTATGTGTTACCTACTTCCCACCTGAAGTCAAGGATGGGCACCCATCCAAATGTGGCTCACCTGAAATTGTGCTTGAAGGCGGGATGCCTGAAGGCTGTTCACCTGCAGGCCGTTCACCAGAAGTCTTTTCACCCGAAGGCTGTTCACCAGAAGGTTGTTCACTGGAAGCGTGTTCACCTGCAGCATGCCCACCTGCAGCATGCTCACTTGAAGCGTGTTCAACCACAGTGTGCTCACTTGAACCATGCTCACTCAAAGTGTTCTCGCCTGAAGAAGTCTCATATAAAGCCTCACCATCTGAAGGGTTTTCAAGTGAAAAGTAGTCACCTGAAGGTTGCTGAACTGAAGCTTGATGATCCAGATAGCCAGGAAGCTCATCAGATTGACCTGATGCTCCTGGGATGGAGAAATAACAGAAGAGAGATGGTAAAGGTGAGAGAGGACGTCTGGATAAAGAGTTCTTTCCTATGGAGCAAGGCTAATGTTGTGGGGTTCCTAGGTTTCTGGGGGCCTAGGTCAAGCACTGAAGATACTGCAGATGTTGGATGCAGTCAACCAATTACCTGGGAGACCATGAAGGACAGGGGTGTTAAGGAAACACAGAGACCACCACTGTGATTGAAGGGAAGAATTTTAAGATCCACAACATTTGTGTGGATCTGTGTACCCTGAGTGGGCACATGGGGGCCTCCTCACCCAGCACCAAAAGCACTGTGCCTCCCTGACAGAGCCAACATCAGGAAATCAATGTCCCATCATTCATGTAATCAGAAGTCCACCACTAGCCTCCCTCCAGTTCCTCTGTGGGTGAAAGGTAAGCATGGAGATACAAGGGGGAGAGAAAGCAAATTGTTTCAGTAGCTGAGTAATTCTAGCTGAAACTGAGGGTGGAAGATTTTAAACTTTGGACAAGATAAATTTTAAACTAGAGATGACAAATATCTAATGAACCCACAAAAATTACCAGAAGGCACTGAGACACCTTTACTTGGCAAGTTCATGTTCTTTCACACACTCAAACCCAATCCATGTGAGTTGGGGACACAAAGCCAAGTTGCTGTTAATTATTAAGATAAAAACAATCTTTGCTTCTGTATCCCTGAATTGAGATTCCTTGTGACATATCATTTACACCTACTTTACGGAGTTGTCATGAGTATTCAATAAGATAAACTGTGAAGTGCCTAGTCCGTCGCTCAAGTGCTCAGCTAATTTTAGTTTTCCCTCCTCCTGACCTTGCATTTGGAATTACAAAACTCTTAGCTGGTCGTTCTGTTCTGACCACTCTCTTCTACATTTAATCCATCTTATTAGTGGCTGTCAGACAAATATCCTTAAGTACAACTTTCATTTAATTAAGTGTAGCACCAAGCAGACAATTTGATTATTACTTTTTTAAAAAATTATTACTCTTTGACTAACTGATTTAGACTGAGTAACCTAGAGAAGGGCGGTGAGTAGACTATAATGACTAAATTATTAATCCTAGCCAAAAGCTGAATTACAGGATCTTTGAGGCCTAAGTCCCCAAAATACTCTAGCTCTGTAAGAATCCTGCAAATATATATATTTGTGTGTGTGTGTGTGTGTGTGTGTGTGTATGTATGTATGTATTCTGAGTGATTTGAAGACCTTACAATCAATAACTTTCAAAAGGCTAGCATTAGAATACGTTGATAAAGGAAAGGTAAGATTTACTAAGGCTTTAAGGAATTTTTAATTTTAAAAAGTTGTTATAGAAATATCATCTTCTTGACTGATCCTTCAAAAGTTAACAGAAGTTTTAATAAAGAAATTTCTGATACAGAAGGGAGGCTTGAAAAACACACTAATTTCTTTGTCATGCTTATAGTTTATGACTCACTGCCTCACAAAGTGGCTAGGACATACTACCATCTGGTAGCTATGTAGCTACGTTTCTCAGTCAACTTTTGAAAGGCTAAGAAAGCAAAAGACAAAATCTCTGAGAACTGACATTACAGAAAACACTTTGTCATTTAATAGACAGCTCAGAGCTCATGGCCTCTCACTTCTCCTGTAGGAGGAAGGAGGGAACAGAGCCCACCCTGAATGGGGGTCCTGAAAGAGGAAATACCACTGGATGGATAGACCAATGAAAGAGTGGCTTGTAAGGTCTCTGGCCCAGAGCCATGCTGTGTTCTCGGATGACTTTCCAGGCATACCACACTCCCATCTCCTCATGTCTCTCCTCCTACATTAACTACACAAGGATCCCTTACACTCAGTTCACGGGGGCAAACCTTCACTGGACCTCTGCAGAACCCCTAGACCAATCTTCTCATTTCACAGAGCATCAGATACAATGTCAAGTAGCTGAAAGTATTAGGAACGAGACTGTGCTAAGCCAGTCTCTGATGGTGAAGCCATAACTAGGAGGAACCCACCACCGGTTCAGTAGCTCTCAGAGTTGAACTTGTTCAGCTACTCCTAATTCTGAGTTAGATTAGTTTGGGTAACTAAGATACTGGCCTTCCTTCTTCAAGGGCTGAAATGCCTTAAAGGTGCCTCTTACATGTCCACCCAGAACCAAGACAAGAGGACTTACCTCTGGCAGATCCAAGCAGATACAGACTCACTAGTAGAAGACATTTCTTCATCTGGATTTTGGGAGAGAGGGCACCCTGGTGCGGGGCACCCGAGAGCCGTGAAAAAGACTGTGAGCAGAAGCTCCCAGTGCTGAGCCACAGAGTCTGGGATTCTAGAACCTCAGAAACAATCCATTATTCATCACAATGTGTTGTGCTCTGAGGTTCTCATGTCTCCCGATCAGGCAGGTTGGACCTCTGGCAACCCATGGCAAATTGTAGTGTGAAGGCTCATGCACCATGGTATATTGGGGCTCTCTGCCCTACCTTAAAAACTCATATTACCAAAATAACATATACTCTATGTAATAAATTTTAAAATCTATCTACTCTCTTTTTAAAGTGTTCTTGACAGTGAGGTGTGATTAGCTGGTTATTTTTTGTTTGACTCTCTAAATCAGCCTTTTTTCCTTTTGGTCCTGGACCCCAGAAGGATGATCTCTCTTGAGTTGATCACCTGAGTGCTGGTTGGGGTTGGCTTTAGATTGTGTTTAGCCAATGGAAGATTGGAGAAGAGAACACACACACACACACACACACACACACATACATACGGATTGAGATGGAAGTATTTATCCCTCCTATTACCTTCCTGCCACAGTTCTTGATGTGTCTTGATGTGACAGTTTTTGAAGGGTGTCCTCTCTTCCATGGCTTCAGCTCTCCACCAGGCTATGGTTACACGTTTTCCTTCCCCTGCTCCCTCAGGCCTAGGAATGATGATGATTTCTTGCAGTTGCTAGATCTGGATGCCCCAACTTTATTATACTTTTTCCTTAACCCTGCTCACTTCTGCTAATAGTATTTTCATAATGACCTATATCAATCATGGTTTGGGCAGGAAACAGATGGCAAACTCAAATGGGTAACAGGAGAATTTACGTGATATGGACATTGAAAAGGGATCTACAAGACATATTTGAAAGCTGTGCCTTGAGCTGTAAGTGCTGAGAAGATGGATGCAGTGAAGCATCCACCTGGTATTAAGCTAGAACTTTTGGGGGATTGGGTGGCAGAGCTACCATAGCCCCCATCTCCTCCCTCTTCCCTGCCCACCTCTCTTGGACCACTTTGTTACATGTACCACTGAATGCTGGATCTAGAATAGATGTATTTGTCACTCTTATAATTATTTAATGCTTGTCTCCCCCATTAGACTTTTTTTTAATACACATAGCAGGCAAGTGTGATGACTTTCTTTTTTTAAATATTTATTTATTTTATGTATTTATTTTCCTTATTATTTTTTTTTTTTTTTGGCTGCATCAGGTCTTAGTTGCAGCACACAGGATCTTTGTTGAGGCATGCGGGATCTTTTCGTTACAGCCCACCGTCTGCTTGGGTTTCTCTCTAGTTGCGGTGTGCAGGCTTCTCTCAGTAATTGTGGTGCGTGGGCTTAGTTGCCCCACAGCATGTGGGATCTTAGTTCCCCAACCAGGGATCGAACCCGTGTTCCCTGCATTGGAAGGTGGATTCTTTACCACTGGACCACCAGGGAAGTCCCTTCCCCATTAGACTTTAAGCTCCTTGAAAATGGTGTTCCAGTCTGTCTTGATCACTGTTGTATCCTCACTACCTAACAGCATGCTTGACACATAACAGGTGCATTTTTCCTGCATGAAGGAATAAATGAATTATCTTTTCTGGACCTCACTCTACTTCATGGAGAAAGATGTATAGACAGCCCCTAGAGTGGGCTGGCTGAAGATTCTGGGTCAATGGGAGAAAGCAGGACCTCAGGGATCAGAAGTTGCAGAGGCCGACCCTACTTGGCTTGAGTGGGAGGACAAAACTAGGATTTCCAGGTCTGCGGCTCAACTCCTCTGGAGGAGAGAAAGGCATGACACAGAATGCCATCAATAGTTCCTTTTTTTGATGTGGAGTGAGTTAGGAGCTGAGATCACATTCAGTCAGACTTCTGTTGATAGAAGCAGTGGAAATTAGTGGAAAGGAAGAGGTGCTATCTATACCACCTACCAGTTTAGAGTATGCCAGCAGTTCTCTTTGTAATTATCAGAACTTTCTGGGACATCCCTGCCTCACGCCTCCCCAGGAGTGACAATATTAACAGATAAGACCTTAAAGCCTGAATGTTCTCTCCTTAAACCTCATCCTCCAACTTCTTCCTCCCTCTTCTTAAGGTTGTCTTTACAGAACTATACCCCAACCCCACCCAGGCTGACTTTCACTGGGCTCCACTTTGGGAATCTTCTCCCTGTGTCCAGTAGTCTGGCACTTTAAAGTCCAACCTGTGAGTATCTGAGCTCATCATAGAGCTCCATCACCCGTGTGGTGATGGAGAATTCACTATGGAACTTGAACAGTTCTGGAGCTAAGACATCCAGAGGTATTCCGGGTCCTGCCCAGATGAGTTAATGCTCCAACTTCTAATGCCCCAAATGAACCAAAGAACTAGCCAACTCAGCCCCTGTAATGTTTGTGACCTGGTTAAAAAAGATGAACTGAGTCAGAGTCTTCTCCTAGAAATATGCAGTTGAAACACAGAGAGACAGAGAAAATTAGCTATGGGGAGCTGAGTTGAAAGGTCATTTAGACTCATGTGCTGAGACCACTATTTGGGGCCAAATGGGGGATAAGTAAGCTGAGAAGTCCGGGAGAAAGTAACAGAGAGAAAAGAGTACAGAGGAGATGAGAGATACCAGGCCTCATTCGGTTTACCTTAACCTTAACCTTAAACGATGGGGAATTAGACATATACATGTCAGAATACACACCACTCAGACTGGGCCTCATGGAGACCTGAACACAGTCTGTGACCTGAAACATTTCTGGATACACAGCAGTTCTAGTAATAGCTATCTGGTAGACCTTTTTTTCTTCTAGTCTTCCTGCCTACGTTCTTACTGCTCTTGTTCTAAACTGACTTTCCTCTACTCTCTATGCTGTGACTTTCACTTACTTATAACTCCTACTGATTCATAACATTTTTCTTTTTTGAAGTATAGTTGATTTACAATGTTGTGTTAATTTGTGGTATACAGCAAAGTGATTCAGTTATATACATGCATACACATATATATTCTTTTTCATATTCTTTTCCATTAGGTTTATTACAAGATATTGAATATAGTTCCCTGTGCTATACAGTAGGACCTTGTTCTTTATTTTATATATAGTAGTTTGTACCTGTTAATCCAAAACTCCTAATTTATCCCTCCATCTCCCCACCCCATTTCCCCTTCGGTAACCATTAAGTTTGTTTTCTATGTCTATGAGTCTTTTTCTGTTTTGTAAATAAGTTCATTTGTATCATATTTTAGATTCCACATATAAGGGATATCATGTAATATTTGTCTTTCTCTGTCTGACATTTCATTTAGTATGATATTCTCTAGGTCCATCCATGTTGCTGCAAATTGAAATATTTCATTATTTTTATGACTGAGTAGCATTCCATTTTTATATATATATATATATATATATATATATATATATATATGTAAAACATCTTTATTTGTTTATCTGTCAATGGACACTTAGGTTGTTTCCATGTCTTGGCTATTGTGAATACTGCTGCTATGAGCATTGGGGTGCATGTGTCTTTTTGGATTAGAGTTTTCTCTGGATATAAGCCCAGGAGTGGGATTGCTGGATCATATGGTAACTCTATTTTTAGTTTTTTAAGGAACCTCCATACTGTTCTCCATAGTGGCTGCACCAATTTACATTCCCACCAACAGCGTAGGAGGGTTCCCTTTTCTCCACACTCTCTCCATTTATTAATTTTAGACTTTTTAATGATGGCCATTCTGACCAGTGTGAGGTGATACCTCATTGTCGTTTTGATTTGCATTTCTCTAATAATTAGCGATGTTGAGCATCTTTTCATGTGTCTATTGGCCATCTGTATGATTCATAACTTTTGCTCACTCAGAGTTTCTGAATGTTCATTACTTCTGCTTACTCATGACTTCTGCTTATTCACGGCTTATGCTGACCCCTGACTTCCCTGACATGTGCCTTTGTCTATTCTTTGGTCCTAATAGGCATTCTTGACTCTGACATTCAGTTTTCAAGAGAGAAAATCTCAATGGCTTAACCTCTCATTCTCATCCCTTTTGCACAAAATTCTAATGCCAGGCTACCACACAGGTCTTTCATGCAATTCACAGTGGCCAGGATGGAGGTCTATGTGATACCTAGCATAGTGATCTATGTTAAGAAACCTAGAAAGGAGTCAGAGCTGTGGTAACCATTCTGAAGTTTCCTGAAAGTCAGAGGGGGCACAGTAAAATGGAAGGCATGTTTCTTCACCTGTGCACTGCTACTGCCAGGGGAAGGCATCAAGACCTTGCACAATCTGTCCCCACATGTACTTTCTCTGTCTTGTGTTTCCGCTCCTCCCCTTCCCTTTCTCTACCTTCATCCCAAGCTCCATCACAGGCCACATCCATACACAACTTCTAATTATTCTCTGAATATGCAATGCCCTCTGCATTTTCATGGTTCTCCTCCCCCCCTTCCTGAAACTGTACTTCTCCATCTAGTCTTCCTGATAAGAATTCATTCTTAACTCTTCACACACTCCCTGGGAAGTCTTAATCCATGTCAATCACCACCTACCAATTGAAGACTCCCCAAATCCACCAATCTGGCCCATAGACTCCTCTCTTTCCAGTTCAGACCCATATATCCAACTACCAGCTGGACATTTCTATCTGGATATCCCAGAACATTTGAAACTCAACATTTGTTATACTGAATTCATCATTTGTACTCCAGCTCTGTTCCTGGGACTTTTAGCTTGGTACGGGCATACCTTGTTTTACTGTGCTTTACTTTATTGTGTTTCTCAGATACTGCCTTTTATATAAATTGAAGGTTTGTGGCAACCCTGCATCAAGCAAGTCTATTGGTGCCATTTTTCCAACCACGTCTGCTCACTTCATGCCTCTATGTCACATTTCGGCAATTCTTGTCTTATTTCAAACTTTTGCATTATTATTAACTTTGTTATGGTAACCTGTGATCAGCGATTTTTATTACTCTTG